CGTGACGGCGAACTATCTCATTCCAGAATAATAATCAAGGAACTTTGCTGCCGTACCATGGGTGCAGCAGGCACAATGATATGACACAGCGCCTGAAAATAGTCCCCAGCTAGGTAACTTCCAATAAGCCTATTTTCAGGCGCTGTGTAATATCATTGCGCCTGCTGCACGCATGGTACGGCAGCAAAGTTCCTTGATTATTACGCCAGAATGAGAGTATAGTTCCTAGCCATATCGGCCTAGAAAATCGCAACTTTTCATTTTCCGTCTGCCTTAGCACACGATGTAACTACAGAAGAGTCAAGTTTTAAATAGGAAAAATATAGAAACTCTTTGTGGTCATTTTTGAGCGAGATGCTAACGGTCTAATCTGATTCAATGATCTATGCTAAGCTACAGCTAAAAGTGCTACCGCCAGACCCGGAGATCGGCTGAATGGATTCGAAAACGGTAAAACTCAACTGTTTAACTCTAGGGGAGTTGGAAAATGAGTTTTCAAAAGTAGTGGAGTGTTCCTTTAAGGCACCAGTAAACATACATGTGGACATGGCATAATTTTCTGCAAGGATCAGATTGTTTGGATGCAAACAGTCATTCGCAAAGAGAGAAAACATTACACATCATCTTATAATGTCTACCCATAAGCCATTGCACACATTGACCTACATATATTTAAGAGACACTGAAGCGTGACCTATTTCTAGAGGCTTTTACAGTCCGTTGCTTGCTCAGGGTAACTTCTCAAAAATCAAAGTGGTCAACAAATAACAGGAAGAAAGCCCTGGTTTGACCTTGCTAAAGCATTAAAATCTCTCTATTTGTTGGTCACTGCGAAACTAGAGCCGATCCTATTTAAAGTTTTGTCTGACTAAAGCGAAGAACGAGGAGACTGGTCATGACTTTGGGCAGATTTTGTAATGAGCTTGCTAGAAAATGTCTGACTGTGAAAACCAGCCGTGAATTACAAACAGGCGATCAATAACACGTTTCACACCTCACAAAAACAGATTAAGGCTAGTCAAGCGAGCCACATGTGGTTTGTTCGAAAGTAGGCTGCGTCATAAACATCTTGTACCTTCTACGCTGTCCGAACACGAGGTTCCGATGCCGGTATCACCACTGTCTGAGGCAGCGCTGTGACGTCGCCCGCGGCTGCTAATGCCAGCGGCGGAAGAGGAAGCTTGCCATGCCGAGTCGCAGCCTGGGACCCATCCAGGAGAGGACGTGCTCGAACCTAGGAGACAAACAGAACAGGGTTACCATGGAAGAGGAGGAGACAAACAGAGGGATGTCATGTCCAACAAACACATGATTTCAAACTGTATCAGCATTTAAACTACTTTGTTTATTTCAAAGAAAACATCTTGGGAGCGCTACTTGCTGAAAGGACCTCCATTTCTTTAAGACTTTAATAATTATTGGTTTGGAAATTGTAACTGGATCGATTAGAAAGCGTGATAGATTACAAAGACTTCTACAAAGGGAAGCCTTTTGGATTTTTCAGCTAAAAGCCACCATTTTTCCTGGTTTGAATGAGGAATTAGATTTAACTCCATATTTGGAGTATCAGTACGATTATTATTATCAATATATATATATATTTTTTTTTTGTACATGTGATTATACTTCCAAATTGTTAATGATGCTATTGGTCCCCCCTGTAATGAGCATTTTGGTTTCTCCCATTTCTATTGAGCAACTGATTATATCTACACCTGTGACTAATTTTGTACTTGACACACTCTGAGGAAGGCTGGATGACCGAAATGCATAAGTGTGCAGTGTTCTAGTCATTTTTAATGTTTCTAGAGTGAGCCATGTTTAAATAAAGGCTTTTTAACATTTTGGAACTGGAAGAAGTGCCTTGGATCCGTAGTTTCTATAGATACTTTGTTTATTTCTTAATAAAAGTCGTTTAGCATTCAGAAATGACACAGAAGTGCAACCGGATACTGCAAAAGGCAACTCTGAGGGCTGTAAATGTCAGATAGACATTACAAACACATAGCATCAATGAAATGAGATGAATGTGAACAAACATAGGGTGGAGAATCAACAACCGGTTCTTATTCAGAATCATTAACAAAAAAACTAAACAATTAAAAAGAACTGCTAAGCAAACCAAATGTCATGGAAAATTATCTAGTAAAATTACGTACTTAAGGTTTTTGACTCATATTAATAGTATTTGTTTTATTATTAATAGTTATTAAAATGAATAGTTTTGTTTTAGTATTTTATACACATGTATACATTGCCATTAAGATGTCTGGGGTAAGTACACTTTTTTTTTATTAATACTTTTATTTTGCATAGACACATTAAATTAATCTAAAGTGGCAGTAAAGACATTTATAATGGTACAAAAGATTTTATTTCAAATGAATGCTGTTCTTTTGAACCGTCGATTCATCAAAGAATACGGTTTTCAACATTGATAATAATAAGACATATTTCTTAAACACAAAATCATCATAATAGAATGTTATTATGAAGACTGGAGAAATGGTTGCTGAAAATTCAGCTTCGTCAGGAATAAATTACATTTTAAGATATATTATAATAGAAAACTTGTATTTCAAATTGTAATAATATTTCACAATATTGCCGTTTTTACTGTATTTTAATGAGTATACGAGACTTCTTTTTTTTAAAATCTTACTGACCTCAAACTTTTGAACGGTAAACTATAAAATTAATCTAAAGTGGCAGTAAAGACATTTATAATGGTACAAAAGATTTTATTTCAAATGAATGCTGTTCTTTTGAACCGTCGATTCATCAAAGAATACGGTTTTCAACATTGATAATAATAAGACATATTTCTTAAACACAAAATCATCATAATAGAATGTTATTATGAAGACTGGAGAAATGGTTGCTGAAAATTCAGCTTCGTCAGGAATAAATTACATTTTAAGATATATTATAATAGAAAACTTGTATTTCAAATTGTAATAATATTTCACAATATTGCCGTTTTTACTGTATTTTAATGAGTATACGAGACTTCTTTTTTAAAAATCTTACTGACCTCAAACTTTTGAACGGTAAACTATCCACAAACTAAACAAAACTTTTAAAGTCGAATGAAGTTCAGTAAAAAATATTAGAATTATACATGGCAAATGCCACTTCTCACATTTTTGCTATTTTGTGGGCCAAAAAACTACTAAACCAAGGTGAGGTTCAGTGAACCAAACGGTCAATCTTGCCCTAGAGGGCTCGTCTCCAATATCTGCTGACCTAATCTATTTCTGAGGTGTAATCCGTTTAGACATCACCATTTAGGCTGTCCTGTGTAATGCCTGGCAGAAAATAAGTGGAATATATAATCTCTCTTGCCAGCATCTCTGAACATGTTGATTTGCTTCTAAATAGCAGAGACATTTTTTTTAAAAATTCCGATTCATAATACAACATTTTGATGAAAAATTACTACAAATATATTTTCAAGTTGATCATTAACTTATTATTAAAACTGTATATAAACATCATCCTTTTCCTTTCATGTTCAGTCAGCAAAATCTACTCCTAACACGCATTTTTATTGTGCCATATCTTGGAAAAGTCGCAAACTGTGTTTGAAGCAATTTTCCCTGAAACAGCAATACAGAAAACCAAAGAAATACTTCAGATGCTTTATATGAATCTCAAACCTACAAAAGTTCAAGACCAGCAGAAGCCAAGCTCCAGCTGAAAAGGTCAGAACCAAAATTAGGTCTCCATAATTCCTGGGTGGAAAAACCTCAAGTTCATACCAGTTCATATGAAAGTGATCCACACTAGCCTTCATGACAGAGTAGCAGATCTGTAAATAATACCCCGGGTAAACACAGGGCTTGTTGTTGATGAGGCACCAGCAACTTCTAGACCACCAACAGTTATGCAACATGATATGAATGAATTATTAAAAACACTTGCAGAGAGACTGGTCAGAATCTGTTGCATCACTGTTCAATATTTAGACAACTTTCAAAACACAAAAGTGTAAAAACACAAGCTACTAAATACTGAACACATGTCTGTTTGGATTTTATGGTCACCACTTTACAGTTTAAGAAAGAAAGAAAAAGAAAGAAAGATTGGACTAAAGATACATGCAAGACATTTTTATTTCAATATCTGAGAGGGGGAAAAAACTACAATTAGGTAAATAAAAAAAATGTATACGTAAATATTTGAATACAATAATATAACACATTTATAAATAATGAAATAAAATCTTTTTTTTCTTATTTTATTTGTATTATACATCTAACATTAATTGTAGCTACAAACCTAAAACAAAATAAATATTCTGGAGAAGATATTACTTTGCTTTATATCATATATATATATATTAGTATTATTATGCAGTGCTGTGGCACACCGATATTAGGCTATATCTGTGTGCCACAGCACTGCATATATTCAAGAGACCCCTCTATTAAAGAGACAGAGCACGTTAGAGACCCTTGTGTCCATATCTGACTCAAAGACAAAGCTGAAGGTGACACGAGGGATGCTGTCAAACCATCACAGTTCAATAACATCACAACGCTCATAACGGAACATCACATATCTAATATATCCCAGCCTGCGCGCGCGGAACAATACACGCTCCGTTACACGCGCCAGTCTAACATCAAACATGGCTGTTCCTATGAGCATATTATATCTGCCTTAGTGTGTCATTCCACAAGCGCTAGGCTTTTACCTATCTTATAAGCGTCGAATCCGTCCTCAAAATCGTTCCTGGCCCACATCGCGCTCGGTTTCACACACACTGAACCGATAGATCCAACACAACGAGCCGAGACGAAATGCGCGAGCCCACCAAGAAGAGGAGGGGGAGGTATTTAAGTGAACCCGCATTCCATAGCCACCAAAGACTGGAAGAACCTGCGCACAGAATCTGAAATCAACGCGTTTATATGCCGCTACGCTGTAGTCCTGAAAGGCTGGCGAGTATGTCGCAGATTTGAGCCGGAGTTATGAACTAGTAATCGCTCTCGGACTCACTGGCAGCTGCATCGCGAGGATGTGATCTCACTGCCTGCAGCTCCTCCAGAGATCCGCGGAGAAACGCAATCACAGTCCGAGCGAGCGACACTGACTCCTCCCACCAAACTCACAGCCACGGCCACACTCGCTATTAGACTACTGTATAGAAAGAAAATACTGGGGCTAGTTGTCACACGGGTGAAGTGTCTTAACCCTTGATTGGCCAAGAATTCCTCTGAAATAAGTCTGAAAATTAATTAACAGTTAGTTTCAAATGTACATTTTGTTTTTCCCGGGATTTATGATGAAATATAAATATATATATATATATTTTTTTTTTACACTGAATGGCCATCCCAGGAAAATGGATGTTATCTATATGTTATCATACTTATTTTTTAAAGCATTACTTCATAACCTTTTATAATACAAAAAAAAAAACGACCCCTCTCCCCAGGACAAGAAGTTACATGTGTTTTAACATTTTGTATATTTAATTTATTCGTTACTATTTGTTGGCCAAAATAATGGTTAGATTCGGTATTATTTGTATACTTTTTTTGTAATGCTTAAATTTAGCTTTAAAGGGATAGTTCACCCAAAAATTCTGTCATTAATTACTCACCCTCAAGTCGTTTCAAACCCGTAAGACCTTCGTTCATCTTCGGAACACAAATTAAGATATTTTTGATGGAATCTGAGAGCTGTCTGACCCTGCATAGACAGCAACGCAACTGAAATGTTCCCAAGTCCAGAGACGTAGCAAGGAGATCTGTAAAATAATCCATGTGACATCAGTGGTTCATCTGTAATTATACAAAGCTACGAGAATACTTTTTGTGCGCAAAAAAAAAACAAAACACTATTCAACAATTCGTCTCCTCTGCATCACACTGTAAACAATGTATGCTGTTCTGGATCAGCTGTGTCACACGGATACGCTGTTTCCGTTCAGATCAAATCACAACAACGTAGGAAACAGATCCGGGCATTTCAGTTGCGTTGCTGTCTATGCAGGGTCAGACAGCTCTCAGATTCCATCAAAAATATCTTAATTTGTGTTCCGAAGATGAACGAAGGTCTTACGGGTTTGAAACGACATGAGGGTGAGTAATTAATGACAGAATTTTTGGGTGAACTAACTCTTTAAGGTTCCCATTGTGACAACCTACCTCATTTAATGAAACTTTTGTGTAGGCCTATGTAATTTTTTCATAAAAAAAAAAAAAAAAAACTTAAATGTATACGTCTGTGTTAAACTGACTTATGTATATGAAATGCATATAAAGCATATACTGGACTAAAAAGTGTGACAATATCTATCTCCCATACAGTATGAATGGAGCTGATGTAAAAATAAGCAAATACATTGTTAATATGATTTAAAGTTCATTTTCATATATTAATACTCTTAATTAAAACTGATCATTTTAATGGATTTTTTTTATATTATGTAATGCTTTTAATGATTTAAAGTTACTATAAAATGCTACTCTGATACAGAGTGGTATTTGTTGCCAAGGTCTTGCGTGGATAAAATTAAATGTGCCCATGGTTCAAATCAACATATACACTCACCCCCATTCACATGGCACATTCTTTCACAGGGAAACACAGCACAATTATTTATATTTCAGGGTGTTTGGGACGGCTTCCACTCCACACCTGTTTGACAGACTAGGGTGATTGTCCAAGCTGCCCAAATGGGCCATTCCTTTCTAGCGTTTACATCTATTTACCCTGCTGTCTCATTACACTGAGAACTTCAGTTTACAAGAGTCTGAGAGAACAAATTGATAGTTTTTTGTGTGCTGTTTAAGGCTGCAGGAAACTTTTGTCTCTTGTGCAACATACAAAAAAACATAAGGATTTCTGTTTTGGTTTTTCACAACATCCGTATTTCGTAACACATGCGTAACACGGCATTACATCTACAATTATCACGATTACTGTGGAAACAATTGCAATGTGTATTTAAGTCAAGGTACCTCAACAACTTGACATGCTATAACTATAATTTGAGAGAAAGTAAATTATGTATGTTTTGTACACATTAAATTTTCCTGTGTACCAAACTAGTCTTCTACCATGCTACAATCTATCACGCTCCCTAAGGTCGCAAAACTCTGGACTTTTGGTAGTACCTAGGATAGCAAAGTCCACTAAAGGAGGTAGAGCTTTTTCGCATTTGGCTCCCAAACTCTGGAATAGCCTTCCTGATAACGTTCGGGGTTCAGACACACTCTCTCTGTTTAAATCTAGATTAAAGACACATCTCTTTGGCCAAGCATTCAAATAATGCATCTCATAATCTTTTACTGCAGTCATAATCTTTTACTGCAGTTATATCTAATCAAATGCACATTATTATTCGTTAGTTTGGGTTAAACAAATAATTTTTGCTTGGTTGGAACAGCAGCTACGCTAATTATGTCTCTATGTGTTTCTCTGTTTCTGCTGGGATTAACATCCCGTGGTAACTAGGATATACACAAGCTTCAGTCTGGATCCAGAACACCTGAGAAGAGATGATGCCAACCCCTCAGAGGACCTCAGATGATGCCAACCCACAGAACCCAACATACAGAACTACTACATTTTGCTATAAATTTGATTGCATCATATAATAATTGCTGTTAATAGTGTTCATCGTCTGTTTGATTACGTCTTTAATAGATTTTTCTGTACATTTCTGCCATATGTACATCAACTGACAGTCACCACTGATAGGCTACCACTAAATATTGTAGAAACTTAATTTGCTGTAAAGTTGCTTTGCAATGAGTTGTATCGTGAAAAGCGCTATACAAATAAACTTGAATTGAATTGAAATTTAATTAAGGTGTGTCAAACTGCACACAACAGACAAGGACGACTAATGGTCAGTCGTCTGCCTGATTGAGTCTAGTATCAACTGTCTCAGACAGGCGAGAGAAAACAAGACTGCATAATAACTGTATTATTCTGGTTAAATTGCCCATGAACATGCATTCAACTGCAATGGCCCCATTCAGACAACACTGACAATTAACAGGTTTCATATGCTCAAAAAACATTAGTGGTGCTTTTAAAAGTTTTACTATTCTTTATACTTCTATTCTTCTTCTTCAAAATGTTGGTGCATAATTGCTTAGCAATATCCCACCAACCACCTAATGCACTAGTGACCTCTGTAGCAACCATACATATTCTTCAGCAACTGAATAAAAGATTAAAAAAAATAATAATAAAAAGACAAAAGGGATAAAACTCAAATCAATTTTAAAAAGCATTTTCCAAAACATACCACCACAATAGTTGCATAATTTCCTCTTCTCAGGGCCAATTCATCAGATTTATTATGCATACAGTTACAAGTCACCAATCTGACAAAGCAGTTCTGTCAGCACAGAAAAGGGCTGGACTTAACCTGCACTTCATTTAAAATGTAAAGTTTCTTAAAGGAATAGTTCACCCTAAAATGTATTTATTATATACTCACCCTCACGTTGTTCTAAATATGACTTTATTTTTGTGGAAGACAAAATTCTGAAGACTTGTACTGTTCACTTATTTCCATACAATTACATTAACTGGAAACAGGAGCTTCAAAAAGCACATAAAATCTTTATAATTAAAGCTTTTATAAATAAAAGTATTATGAAAGTAGTCCATATGACGTGTGCACTATATACCAGATCTTCTCAGATTCAAATAAAATAGCTTTGTGTGATTGAAAACGTTAATAAATGTTGACAATCTTCTACTTAAGTTCGGTGAATCATTACAAACTCATTTTGATAGGTGAACAAATCTTTTAGACCAGTTTTGTGAACTGGATCAACCGATTCATTGAAAAGATCCAATTCAGAAGTTCACAAAATACATTTTTTGGAAGCATGAAAGCTTCAACCCACATTCACTGCAACTGTATGGAAAACAGTAACAGTACTATTCCTCAAAATCCTTCTTTTGTGCACTATGGAAGAAAGTAAGGCATACAAGCTTGGAACAACAAAAGAGTGAGTGAATAATAACAAGAGTGTTCACTGAGGCTAAGACTGCACTTTGAAAAAGGCTTCTGCTACGTGCTGGGTCTTACTAAACGGCCACCTGTGTATATTAAAACTGTATTGAGGAAGTGAACAGACACAGAGCAGACATTCCTGCAGACTATAGAGTCCTGGTACTGGATGACACGGAGGCCTGTCTCCACAACAACAGAAGCTCTGAGCCACAGTTCTGGCCCACTCACTCTATACACAGAGCAGCTACACTTCATAACACAAAGAGCGCTCACACTCCACTGTGAACAGCCATGGTGTGTGATAGTGCCAAAATGCACTCAACAAATCTCTGCTAAGGCAAGCATCACTACTACTGCTCATCAAACTTCAGCACATTACTTGTCCCGGGGTGAATGATAGCTCAGCACATGCAGCTTATTGAGGAGAGGTGTGCTATTACTTTCCTAAAGGCATTTTTATAGCTCTGTGCCTGCTCAAAATTCTGTGTAAAGACATATCACATAAAAAAACAGACTAAATTATGCCTGCTCTGACTCACCTCAGCCTCTAATATCAAAGTGATTATCATTGCTGTGTAAATACATTTATGCCACCTTTGTGCAGCATTAAACAGTCTGTGTAAATACACCTAAATGCCACTTCAGAAGTGCCTCTGTGCCACCTTTGCCATGTAAAAACTCTGTGCCACATAATGCTGCATATAAGCCAGACTAAATAAAGCCTGCTCTGACCCACTTCAGTCCCGAGTATCAAAGAATAGAGTTGTATTTGTATCTGTGTGTAAATGCATTTATACCAACTTTGAGCAGGATTAATCAGTCTGTGTAAAGACTGAAGAGCTTCTGTCACCTTTGCAGTGTAAATTAGGCATGAGTGATCTGACTTATGATTTTCAAAAAATAGTTTACACTAAAGGTGGGACCTAAACATTCTGTGCCAAATTTACATTGCAAAGGTGGCATAGACGCGCTTCTGAAGTGGCATTTAGGCGTCTTTCCAAAGACCATTTCATGCTGCTCAGAGGTGGCTTACGCAACAATCAATTACCACTCTATACTTTGATACTAGGGACTGAGGTGGGTTCGAGCAGGCATAATTTAGTCTGGCTCTGATGCAGCATTACATCTTTACACAAAATTTTGAACAGGCACAGAGCAGCTGTAACTCTAAGAGTTACTCTAAGCTAAGACACCTCTAGAGATAAAAATATCAGAGATTTGAAGGTGGATTCTGTTGACT